AATCTCCTTCCATTAGGATGTCATGTAGCAAGTCCTTTTCTGGGGTTACTTCCCTTCTTCTTTTAATGCCACTGGGAGCAACTTGAAGTCACTGGACCCCTGTCACACAAAATATCTGTCCAGAGAGGTCTGTTTCTGGCATTTCTTTATGATTTGCCTGAAGTGGGACAAGGTTTTGACACTGAACATGTTGCAGATATGGTTTGTTTCAGCTTGGTCAGAGTGATACCCCTTCAACAAAATTTACAACTCATTCCACATTGAACACATGTCCTTAATACCCGAAAAAGACACCTCCTTCACTCTTTTCCTCCTCCTCTGAAGCAAGCCCTCAGCTGTGGTCTGATGCTGCTCCAGTTGAGGCTCTTGCAGTTCATCAGTGGTTAGCTCTTCCCTGTGGTCCTCCACCAACTCTTCCACATCCCCGTCACTCACTTCCAACCCCATGGACTTGCCCAATGCCACAACGCCTTCCACAACAGGCAGAGGGTCGGCAGGGTCAGGGTCTGCCTCAAACCCTTCAAAATCCCTCTGGATTGTGTTCTTCGCTTTCTTTACCAAAGGACTTGCACTAGCTTTCCTTGGGCCCATGGCGACTTATTTAGCAGTTGCAATCACAAAAAAACAATGGATTATTACGTATGAACCTGTGGGGTGATGGTCATGTGTTGGTAAACAATGGCACACTGAGTGCGAATAGCGTGGGAGGCTGGCTTTGTGTGCGCGGTGATGGGCGGACGGGTACCGGACGGTCACCGAATCACGAGTCTAATCACGAAACTCGAGGTCAAATTTCATGAAAGTTGATGCTGCTGAAACTCGGGGGTCCACTGTATTTGGGAGTTGACGTGTCAGCGGATGAATTTATGAAGGATGAGGTTAATCATAGAATTGATGAAGGAAAAAAGGTGAGTGGTGCATTGAGGTATATGTGGAGGCAAAAAATGTTATCTATGGAGGCAAAGAAGGGAATGTATGAAAGTATAGTAGTACCAACACACTTAGATGGGTGTGAAGCTTGGGTTGTAAATGCGAGGAGGTGGTTGGAGGCAGTGGAGATGTCCTGTCTAAGGGCAGTGTGTGGTGTAAATATTATGCAGAAAATTCGGAGTGTGGAAATTAGGACAAGGTGTGGAGTTAATAAAAGTGTTAGTCAGAGTTCTGAAGAGGATTTGTTGAGGTGGTTTGGTCATTTAGAGAGAATGGATCAAAGTAGAATGACATGTAGAGTGTATAAATTTGTAGGGGAAGGAAGGCGGGGGAGGGGTCGTCCTCGAAAAGGCTGGAGAGTGGGGGTCAAGGAAGTGTTGTTGGCAAGGGGCTTGGACTTCCAGCAAGCGTGCATGAGCATGTTAGATAGGAGTGAGTGGAGATGAATGGTATTTGGGACCTGACGAGCTGTTGGAGTGTGAGCAGGGTAATATTTGGTGAAGGGATTCAGGGAAACCGGTTATTTTATATCACCAGACTTGAGTACTGGAAATTGGGAAGTACAATGCCTGCACTTTAACCCTTTGAGGGTCGACAGGCCCTCTCCGAAACTCGTTCTCAGGGTCGGCCAAATTTAAAAAAAAAAAAAAAAATTTTCTTATGAAAAAATAGAGTATTTTTTTCTAAACATTATAGGCTAAACAAAAATATTTTAACGTCAATACTTACCGAGATATGGAGGTGTGAAATTTGCCAAAATTGAACAACATATGGTAACATCGCCGACTGCCGTCACCCGGTATTTTTCTATTTACTTTTTTATGCACTATTTTCGATTATTTTTCAATTTTTCTTTTTCTGAGTAACTTTTAGGGCCCTTTTGAGGCCAACATGATCAGTATTTTGTAAGTTATTTCTTTTTCAATACTACACAATAAGGGCGTAAACACTGTTGTCATTATTTTGTTTACAGAAAATATTTACACAAAAAAACGATATGAAATGTTGTTTATTACTATTTTTCTATATTTTATATACACATATACAGTCACAGGACATGTTTCTAGAAGTTCTGCAGCCTGTGGAAGTCTTTGAAAATGGTGTCATGCACAGTGGAGTTTTGCACTCTCACACATAAAACGAGTGTCTCTGCGTTGTTGTGTGCGTTTTCTTGTATGTGAAACAGACGTAACACCTCTTCTGAGCCTTTTTCCCTTTAAAAGCGGGTAGCAGGCAGTTTTACCGGGAAGTGATCACCATGCTTCAGAGAGCAGGTAGTTGTTGATAATTTGTGGTGGGGCGGTAAATTGCAGGTGCTGTTCCTTGGTACTTGAATACTATTTGTCTGATAACAGACAAACAGAATTCGCCGTACTGTGGTTTGTTTCTGGTGCTCATCTTATACTATTATAAGCATTGAGCATGGAATGTCCAGAAGATGGGAAAACATTTGATGTACCACTTATAACTCTTGCGAACACAATCAGCAAACCCAATCTGCATGTCACATTTGTCCACTGAACGCATGTTTGAAGGTGTAATCAATCACAGCTGCAGGTTTTAGAATGGGTTCATTTCTCTTCTATGCTGCCTGCCACTGTTTGCCATTTCATTAGGGGGAATTGAGACAACAGTGTGACATCTCATTTGTCATGCCACCGAAATGCCAGTTTTCATTGGCAGCAAACGCCTGCACCTCACCTCTACGAGTGCCAGCGTCAAACCGGGCATGTGTTTTCGATTTGCACGCACTGTGCCACACACATCTGTCATGTTCACTCGCAAAAAAAACACTGAGTGAGGGGCTTGTGTACCAGTTATCTGTATATAATATATGCCCCTTACCAAGGGATGGTTCTATCATTGTTCGAACCACATCACCTGAGATGCCAATAACTTCCTGGTATTTTGCAATGTATAACTTCCAGTGTACACAATAATATCCAATACCAGACCCCCTGTAACTATCACAAAGCACAAACAACTTTATACCAAAGCGTTTCCTCTTGCTGGTATGTACTGCTTGAAAGAGAGTCTTTGAACAGAATCAAAGACTCGTCAAAACAAGCTTCCTGAAGGGATAAAAATGCGTACTGAATTTCTGTTTCAGATACACAAACACATTTCCCAATCTTATATTTAAAACCCGTCAGTTCTGTCAGGCCTTTTTTTATCTGAGAAGTGAGCATACGTAACATTAGCACAAATCGATTCACTGGCATTATATCACTGAAACTGGTGTTGCAATCAGGGGGTCTGTTGACCAGTATGATTTCACTTTTTGCTTATTCTCATGTGGCATAAGCATTATTGTGGCAAAAAAAAGATACATCTCAGCCACAAATTGCCTCCTTCCATGGTGTAGACGTGATTTTGGTGAAAGTAATGTGTTTTCCATGGTGTACTCGTAGTATGTGTTTGCTTTCCATGACAAAACTTTTCATCAGTGGTTCGTCAAAGAATAACTCGAAACATTCCAGTTCAGTGGCATTGTTCCAAGTGCACAAAATGGCCGTATTCCACTTTGGCTGCCATCAAAATGGTGGGGATTTGGAACAAAAATTTACAGCTTCCTGCCAATCCCAGGTGCGGTCTGCTGGTGGGTAATGGACAATGACAGGTGGTTGTGGTTGTGGAGGTTGTGGTTGTGGAGGCGGTGTGGTGGGGGAGTGGGGGGATGGTGGCCTTTGTTTAGATCAGCTGAGGCAGCGGCGTGGGTGGCAGCATGGCCCCCTGCTGGTGCCTCACCGCCGGCACCACTACCACCACGCACATTTTTCCCTCCCAATTGCAACATATCTTCGTCATTTTCACTGTCTGTTCCTGTGTACAGCCACGGGATGTTTCTCCGAGATTTCACTCCTTCCCCTTGGAATAGCATAGGCACACTTCCAGAGCGCATATATCGTCGTATTACTGACGCTTCACTGGGGAATATTGCACTTCACTGTCACTACTGGAACTAGTTTGAAGAGCTTGTAGTTCATATTCACTATCACTATCATCACCCATGCTCTCATCTGAGTCTGGGATTTGGGAAAATAGAAGTTTTCCTCTGGGTTCTGGAACAAATGAACGTGAACACAAGGGCCCAGCACCAAGGTGGAAGGCTGAGGGTCGTTCTGGGTTTTCTTCACTATTACCGATATTATGGTCATTAGTTTCGGTCAAAACCTCACTAAAACCACGAAACTCATCTTCACTGGCACTTCCATCACTATTAGAACTGTCACTGGGGAACAAAAGTGTCCAATTCGCCGAGGAGTGAGGAGCTTCTTACCGCGAGGCATGGTGGACATTGTTTACTAAGAGGGCATTCCCACAATGCACCACTGGGTCCCAGATTTTTTTTCTACCGCGCACACCGACCACGCAGACCCATTCTCTCACACCTAGGCCTACCAGCCTTTTCACGCGAGATTTGAGGCCGCTAGAATTTATGCGTACTAGTACATCAAAAACCCCTACGCGTAAGACGTACTAGTACGACGAAAACCCTCAAAGGGTTAAAGGAGGGGTTTGGGATATTGGCAGTTTGGAGGGATATATTGTGTATTTTTATACGTATATACTTCTAAACTGTTGTATTCTGGGCACCTCTTTAAAAACATTGATTATGTGTGAGTGTGGTGAAAGTGTTGAATGATGATGAAAGTATTTTCTCTTTGGGGATTTTCTTTCTTTTTGGGTCACCCTGCCTCGGTGGGAGATGGCCGACTTGCTGAAAAGAAAAATGTACTTATCCTAGAAATATTTTTTGTATATGGTACTGAGAAGGTACGTTGAAAGTGAAATTTACGGTAAGTATGTTTTGGACATTCATATTTATTACTTATATTAGATAAGGAATTTTATGGCTTGGAAATGCATATTTGATTATAGCATGGGTTTCTTTGGAAAAATGGGTTCTGAGTACTGAACACTAGACTTGGGATAAATTATCAGGAATGCGTTAATGTTGTACATTGGAGCATGTAACTGTATAGTAATAAATATGTATTTAGTTGTGAGATAAACATTTCAATCATATCTGTGGATAGCATCATGGTACTGTTTTATCTTCCAAACAGGTGTTCAGAAAACCATGTATGCGAAGTGAAGGTGCTACACATCAGACTGCTGCTGCTTCATGTAAGAATGCTGCTAGTGCTACTTCGCACAGAAATGCAGCTAGTGCTGCCTCACATAAGAATGTTCCTGGTGCTGCCTCACATAAGAATGCTCCTGGTGCTGCCCCACATAAGAATGCTCCTGGTGCTGCCTCGCATAAGACAGCTTCTGTTTCTGCTACTTCTCATCAGAATGTTGTTGCTAAGAAGAACACTTTGCAGTCATCAGAGACTAGTCATATTTCTGATAAATCCTTGGGGAAGTCAGTACCAAGGGAAATGCGCTTTAATTGTGAAGATGAGGATGAAGAGTTCAGCACTAAATATCTCCTTGATATGCAGGTATTTTTTTTTTTTTTTTTTTTTTTTTTTATGTACAGTATAAGCATTTGTTTCTTTTACTACAGTGATCTTTTTCATCTGTGCTGTCTGCCCACCCGAAGCGTGCAAACAGTACAGCTCAAATGACCTGCCAAACCTCAGCATTCCCCATCCTTCAGAGTGCAGACATTGTACTTACCACATCCAGAACTCAAATCACAACTAACTCACAAATTGTAAATAAAACAGATGAACAAGGAGGCTTTAGGAAAGGTAGGGGGTGTGTGGACCAGGTGTTTACAGTGAAACATATAAGTGAACAGTATTTAGATAAGGCTAAAGAGGTCTTTGTGGCATTTATGGATTTGGAAAAGGCGTATGACAGGGTGGATAGGGGGGCAATGTGGCAGATGTTGCAAGTGTATGGTGTAGGAGGTAGGTTACTGAAAGCAGTGAAGAGTTTTTACGAGGATAGTGAGGCTCAAGTTAGAGTATGTAGGAAAGAGGGAAATTTTTTCCCAGTAAAAGTAGGCCTTAGACAAGGAGTGTGATGTCACCGTGGTTGTTTAATATTTTATAGTTTGGGGTTTGTAAGAGAAGTAAATGCGAGGGTCTTGGCAAGAGGCGTGAAGTTAAAAGATAAAGAATCACACACAAAGTGGGAGTTGTCACAGCTGCTCTTTGCTGATGACACTGTGCTCTTGGGAGATTCTGAAGAGAATTTGCAGAGATTGGTGGATGAATTTGGTAGGGTGTGCAAAAGAAAAAAATTAAAGGTGAATACAGGAAAGAGTAGGTTATGGGATAAAAAAAAGATTAGGTGATGAAAGATTGAATATCAGATTGGAGGGAGAGAGTATGGAGGAGGTGAACGATTCAGATTTTTGGGAGTGGACGTGTCAGCGGATGGGTCTATGAAAGATGAGGGAATCATAGAATTGATGAGGGAAAAAGAGTAGTGTGCACTTAGGAGTCTGTGGAGACAAAGAACTTTGTCCTTGAGGCAAAGAGGGGAATGTATGAGAGTATAGTTTTACCAACGCTCTTATATGGGTGTGAAGCGTGGTAGAATGTTGCAGCGGGAGAAGGCTGGGAGGCAGTGGAGATGTCATGTCTGAGGGCAATGTGTGGTGTGAATATAATGCAGAGAATTCGTATTTTTGGAAGTTAGGAGGAGGTGCGGGATTACCAAAACTGTGTCCAGAGGGCTGAGGAAGGGTTGTTGAGGGGGTTTCGGACATGTAAAAGAGAATGGAGCGAAACAGAATGACTTCAAGAGTGTATCAGTCTGTAGTGGAAGGAAGGCGGGGTAGGGGTCGGCCTAGGAAAGGTTGGAGGGGGGGGGTAAAGGTTTTGTGTGCGAGGGGCTTGGACTTCCAGCAGGCATGCATGAGGTGTTTGATAGAGTGAATGGAGACAAAGGGTTTTTTTAATACTTGACGTGCTGTTGGAGTGTGAGCAAAGTAACATTTATGAAGGGATTCAGGGAAACCGGCAGGCCGGACTTGAGTCCTGGAGATGGGAAGTACAGTGCCTGCACTCTGAAGGAGGGGTGTTAATGTTGCAGTTTAAAAACTGTAGTGTAAAGCACCCTTCTGGCAAGACAGTGATGGAGTGAATGATGGTGAAAGTTTTTCTTTTTCGGGCCACCCTGCCTTGGTGGGAATCGGCCAGTGTGATAATAAAAAAAAAAATAGCATTTTATCCTGTCCTTGATCTTCATTAAGTCACAAGCGAAACAGAAAAGGGGGAACAGCCAGTAGTCAGGCCGGGTAAGATTATGTTAGGATACACAAAAAAGAAGCTAGGCGAAGATGAAGAGATATTAGGATTAACCAGTGTTAGGTCTCATGTCATGTATGTTCCGAAGACTAGAGAATTTTCCAGTGTGCTGGGAGAGGCAAGCATCTAAAGCAAAGCCAGGGCTGAGGTTTGTTGGGAATATTTTGTATAAGGGCCAGTTCAACAAGACTTGTGTTTGTGAATGCTTGAATTCAAGAGGATTTTCAAGCAACAGAGGGAGTTTTTTGTACTTGTTACTTGAAAAGATACTTTTTGGGTAAACTCTGGTAGACTTCTGAGTATTCTTTCCATAAGAGGCACTCTTAGGTATTCTCCATATTTAGTGGGGCATCCCAGTTTGTTGAACACTGAACAAAGTGTTCTGTTGTCACAAGTCTGAAGCGCTAGACAGTGTAGAAATCCGAGAATATAATGACCTTGCACAAGTCTTAACCCTTTCAGGGTCCGTCCTGTAGATCTATGGCTTTACGTTCAGGGTCCAAACCGTAGATCTACGCCATGAGCTCAGCTCACTCTGATAAACTGTGAGTGGTAAATTTGGGCCTAGATATGAGAGAATACATCTATGTGGTATGTGTGCACCACATAAAACAAATCCTGCAGCACACTGTGTATAAGGAGAGAAAAAAAACTGAGACAGCGATTTTCGATTAAAACAGCTACTTTGCAGTGTTTTTTCGTATGTTTTTTATAGTTGTATTTGCGATTTCTTGGTCTCGTTTGATAGAAATGGAAGACGTATTCAGAAATAGAGATGATTTTGATTGGTTTTAGTACTGGAAATGGCTTGAAAACTGTGCTCAAAGTAACGGAAATGTTAAATTTTTGCCGATGTTCAAGAGTAAACAAACGACCTCACACGTCTAATACATGCCAGCTGGTGGGTCTAATATTTCATTCACAAATGTGGTGATGATATTTATACAATTATTACAATATTGCATAACAGTAAATCTTCTTTTTTTTGGTGTGAATAAAATTCATTATGCGAATAAAAATCAAAATGGAATTTATTGCAAAGCCTCAAAACGTAAAATAATGAACAGAGGAGAAATGTTAATTTAGTGCCATTAATACCTACATTGTTTATTCTGGACCCTATTTCGAAATTGGAATACTTTGAAACTTTGTTTAAATTGGCCAAATTACCAATTTCCGATCACTTTAATTTGTAGTTGAACGTTGATTTGGCAATTTCTTGTGCCCCAATTGATAGAATAGATGTAAATACTAGTGAAATAGCTAAGAATTTGGTCGACTGGAATAAAGTAATTGGCCAAAATGGGAGTCAAAGTTGGCAAAATTGCCAATTCGTAAATATCGCTGACGCATCAAAATTCGCGAGAAACATAATTTCATCAATTTTCCATCAAATTTCGGGACTTTTTGTTTTATCACCTTCACAGCAAGATTCTCTATCATTTCATAAGGATTTTTTTTTTTTTTTTTTTTTTTTTTTTTTTTTTTTTTTTTTTTTTTTTTTTTTTTTTTTGAAAATTCTTGGACACTGGGGCACCACTTCAGATTTTGGCCTTGGACCCTGAAAGGGTTAAACTATGAAGCAAGCCCTGCAGGGAGGTTGGATGGATGATGACCTAGGATTAGAGTTGTTTGTTGTGCGGAGAAAGAATTGGACATACAGAAAATTGGTGAAGTGCTGACAGTATGATAAACAAAACACTGATTGCTGCTACTTTATTGCACAATATTTCACCACATATTGGCTTTTATCAAATACATAAAACACAACTCGCAAAATTGTAGTGACGGCTCTGAGGGAACTTGAGCTAGTGTTCGTCATGGCCACACTGGCGGGCGATTCATCTATAAAAACTTGCATTTGTGGTCACAATGGAGCATATGATAACATTCCTGTGGTGTATAAATATTCCTAGTTGGATGAATTTTTATTGTAACCAGCTAGCCCATGGCTAACACGTCAGTCTGGAGTTTTATGACTCTCTGAGCGCTGGTTCTATCCCCACCCGTGGTATGGTTTGTTTACATAAAGCATGTGAAGGCTTACTCAGCCCTGTAACAACTTCAGACAGTATTACTCATGCTGGCTCCTCCTCAGGAAAATTAATGAATAGAAAAAGAAATAATAATTCACAAAGATAAACACTTTATTATTTATTAAATCAAACATAATAAAACAATAAAACATGAAAGGTATATCCTATTTGAAAGAAAAATGAAAAATGAAATGAATAAAATAACATTTGAAATCAACGCTAATATATACAGGGGTGTCTGGTGTTGGTGACACTGTTGTTGAAATCGTAGCCGTTGCTGATGATGGGGTGGGGGGGGGTCGCAGGTGTTGGTGACCATCCACTGGCTAGTTCTTCACAGTATACCAGTGAGTAATCTCTCCCGATGACAGGAAAGCAGGTTCTTTACCGCTGCAATGATGTGGGGTTACGTCCTGCAATTTCATACAGGTGCACAGGTACTTAAATGCAAAATTGGGAAGTCTCTGGACGTTAGTCCTTCTCCTGTTCTTCTCGTTGATTGACAGGTGACCCTCACTGTCATCCAAGCTGAAAAGAGACAGGTTACCCACTGTTGTTAGGTAAGACACATATGCAATACCATTTAAATGTTCAGGTTACCCACTGCTTAAATAATCACTCTCCATGGCAGTGTACAATACTCTAAAGACAAAAGACGTTGTGATTATTACAACAGTCAACCTAGAGCAAGACTGAAAGGACTAAGTTTATTATTGGTCAAAAGTGAAGCTTTTAACCAATAAATCCACTAGAATACAAGGCAGGCATGTACTTACAGTAGTGTTGGGAGCTGTGAGTCGAGTGATTTACTGTTTGACCAGAGCCCCACACGTCACCTTTCGGGGGGGGGGGGAAGAGGGAGGGGAAGGGATAGCGGGAGCTAGACTGACCCTACCTTAACATGCAGCCAGCAGTCAAACTATCACTTTCAGGGAGGGGGAAAAAAGGCGGGAAAAACGGGAGCTTGACTTACCCTACCTTAACTAGTAGCCGGCAGTGAAACTATCACTTTCGGGGAGGGGGAAGAAAGGCGGGAGCTTGACTTGCCCTACCTTAACTAGTAGCCAGCAATGAAACTATTGTTACTATATCGCTACTCCTATCTATTGAACTTTTCCCTCACACTCCCCTATACCAAGACTTATAGTCAAGGAGTATAAGAAGAATAGGCGAGGAAAAAGTTCTAACATGTGGAAGTCGCGT